TTTTTATTTCCGGCAGATGGTTCGGCGGCAGTGTTCCAGGACGTGGTGGGTTTTCACCTGGCAAGCGTTCTCCCTATAAAAGCCACAAATGTCCCTCTGACAACACTGCGACGTGGCGGATGTGACTCGCCACTAAATAAAGTCACTGCCCCTTGTCTCCTTTGAAAACAGTGTACATCTGCAAGAAAACCGAGCATCAGATCTTGTCTGACTTCGGGAGTGTTGGGCCCGTGGCATGGCTTATCCTCATCTGAAAGGCGTATGAACTAAGTGTCAAGTCACCGGCTCTTACCAGGTAAAAATGCCTCATCTCGTCCTGTTGCCTTGTGACTTAGGCGCTTTGGCCAAAGGCTCGGAGCGGTTGTCACCCAAGACAACCTGCCTACTTCGGCCTAGTCAACCGGGTAGTATCTCGCCATGAACTTACAATTACAAACAATCACACGCTCTCTTGTTGCTACGATGCTATTCACTCCTGCTACTATGCAAACTTCATGAGCACACACCATCATTTTACCTACCCTTGTACCATTCACCCCCATTTTATCGGATGCTTCCACGGTAATCATTCCCACCTCCACCGATAAACCTGTTCCAGTGACATCTGCCAACTCAGCTGCCAGTTCGAAGTAGTAGCCTTCAACGTACGCACGCTACTACAGATCGGTCAGCAAGCTGGAGTTACACGCGCACTAGACCCTTGCGATTGATGTCTGCTGCCTGAGTGTAACGTGACTCCAGGACCCCAACTCGGTCTACCTGCTGGCGTCACCGCTCCACCCATGCACCCGCTTCCATCTCTGCCTCTCTGGTAACGCTCAGTCTGTCTGCTGATCATCAGCTTTTCTCCATCACGAGCTTTTGTCATCCTGGACGCCGTTACGCCACTTGGCGTCCCCCATCATCAACCCTGCGCTGGTCACAAATTGACCACATCGTCATAAGTCGCAGATGGCGTGGCAGCGTACGCGACTGCGGATCATTTTGGTCAACCTGTGTCGAAACCTATCATGCACTGGTATGTGCGACCGTTTGCATGCGTTTTGGTGATTCACCTAGGTCAAAATACACCCGATTGAACATCTACAAGCTGGAGGACCTAATGGTGAAAAAAGAGTATCAACAAAGGCTTTGTGAAAATCTCGCTCTATCTCCCACCGTGGATGTTGATCAACACTGGTCAGGTCTGCAACAAGCCAAGCTCTCGACTGGTTTGTCCACCTGCGGCCTCGCTTGCTCCACTCCCAAAAGCTGAATCTTGGGAAGATCCTTGGGATTACTGGATTGCCAACGGGCGGTGCCTTCTGGCGCAGAGCACAACGAATACCGCCGGTCTACTACGCAATGGCTGAAAGCAAGTCTTCGCTCTTATCGTGAATCCTGGTGGTTAAAACGAGCTGATAAGATGGAAGCCGCTGCACCAGCTGGTAAATTCCGCTGTCTATTTTGCATTCTCAGGGCCGCCGCTTGCAATTACCACACTATCAGCCAGACGATTTGCGAATCAAACGACATGAAGATCATCACTCTTCATAGGCGACTGGGTCGCTGGGCAGAGCATTTCGCTATTCATTTCAACCTCCCAACACAGCCCCTTGTAGCACCCCCAGTCCCAATGGATGATGCTTGGCCTCTCTCCATTGGCCTCCAACTGAAGCAGAGACCCGAGATGCAATCCCATCTTTGGAACGCCATAAAGCTCCTGGCCGTGACAGCCTATCATCGGCTCTATTCAAAGATGGCGGAAGTGTACTTGTCAGCGAAATCCTATCGCGGTTCACGAAAATTTTGACTGAGGAGAAGGTTTCGAACTCATGGGGAGAATTGGTCAAAATCTAAATTCAAAATCTCCATGTCTGTCCTTCTTTGCAGACTTTCAACGACTGGAGAGGAGTTTCCCAGAAAAGGACAAGCCGGATTTTGTCCAGGCCTAGGTTGCATCGACCAAATGTTCACGCTCCGCCAACTCCTCGAACTCCATCACATCAATCAGCGGCCAACAATCGTAGTATTTTTGGACATCCGAGCGACATTTGATTCCGTAGCTAGATCTGGGTTGTGGAACTGTTTACTGAAGAAAGGTGTGCCCGACATGTTTGTAACCATCCTGAAGAAAATTTACAACCACGTCGGGCAAAATTAGGGCTTACAGCACGCTCTCTTCTTAATTTACTGTGACCAGCAGTGTTCGCCAAGCTTGCCCTATTTCACCTTCCCTCTACAATTTCGCCGTCGAAGATGTCGTCCAAAGAGTATTGGAAGGTGTCCAGAACTGCTATGTTGAGCTCCGTCCTGGAGACAGAGTCACGGACTTGGACTACGCCGATGATTTTGCCTTGCTAGTGGACGACCCACAAGCCGTCTAGAACACTGGACCACGTAGCGATGGAGGTATGTAAGTACGGCTCATGCTTCACTCCGTGAAAATGTAAAACACTGCTCCACGATTGGCAAGTGCCTGAACCCGCGCTCACCATTGCTGAACATGTGCTGGAGCAAGTCCCTTGCTTTCAAGTCATAATACTCGATCGAATTTCTTCTTACTGAGATACACTGATATGTGGAACAAACTACCCCTACAGATACGCATGTGTGCAAGCTGTCACATTTCGAAATTCCCTTCAGACATTCCTCAATATATCAAATGTATTGAAGATCTTGTACTCACAGAAAACTCTTGTAACATTAACAGAAGCCGGTATAAAAGACATATGAGCAGATATTCGCTTACAACTAGCTTATCCACTACATGTCATTATCTACAATACCAAATCCTGTGTTTGTGCAGCCTACTATCCTCTCCCTTTTTATTATCTACTCCTGATTCCCACAAACCATAAAATGATGATACAAACATCCGTAAATTTTACATATTAGGTGCTCGCGTCTAGGACCCGAGGAAAAAAATCATGATCCGAAAATCTATTAATAAACTTTATTATTATGATTTAGGCGGCATAAATCATGAAACCTATTGACTATACAAATGATCGCTCCCACTTATGAGGCCGTGTAACGTCTGTCGGTAAATATACAAATTTATTTATTTATTTAGAGAGTTGCATCATGGCTGATGGCGGTGTTGGGGTTGAAGTCTCAACGCGTTGCAACGGTCCTCTTTATATTTACCAAATTGAGATACCTACGGCCTCGTCGTGATTTCAAGCTCAAGGTCAGGGTGCACAATGCTTCCGTTCGTGTAGTACCCTTGTACGGCTGTGAGCCGGCCTATCCGCTCGGAAAGCATGAAGCGGTTGTCAATCTTCGACAATCGCTCTCTAAGAAGGATCGCTCGAGTGTAGTGGCAACCCCACGTAAGCAACGCAGAGGTCCGAGACCGAATGCTTGGAGCGAGTAGTGCCAGTCTTCTGAACGTTAATCTCCGACACCGCATACCCATCGCAACGAGAATGGACTTTAACCTGGAGCGATGGTTTGTATGCCTCAGCGATCCATTGAGCTATGCTGGGTAGTGCTTTTTTGCACCTTCAGAGCCACTCATACCAGGTTGATCAATGGTTAGAGGCCAAACAAACTCAGTCTCCTGACCAGGTTGGGGGTTGGTGTGAGGGTGCCCCCTTATTCCATAAAACGGGCTCTCTGTAGTCCAGTGCCAAAACACCGCTGCCTTGCGGTAAGGTTTCTGAACCAAATGCTGTGGTTAAGAACCCTAATCGTTCTCCAGTCTAGGCCTGGGCAACCTGACAGTGTCATGTCCACACAATACACCATGGCCTTTCCTCCTAACAATTTCTTGATTCTCTGGCCGTCCCAGAGGATAATAAACGGCGCGCTATCTGCTGAATCGAGCAGGGTGAATAGGGGTATGGATGCTACTGCTCAGGCCTTTCTGTCTTCTTATCCCCTTCTTGCACTTTTTCATCCTTGTCGTCCCGCTCGAACTTTACTTTTATCCCCCCATTTCTAATCCCCAAATTCTGGGCCCTCTCCCACCTTGCTGCAATAGTCGTTGTCTTCTCGTTTCAGGTCACACACAATCGCAGGGTGTCACGCCAATCCATACGGCAAGTCCATGTTCAACCAAGCGGACAACATCAGTTCATCCGTTTCCCTTTGGAGTCCTCGCGTCTCACTAAGACTGTCATACCTCAACGTGCGCACTTTGCTACAGATTGGCCAACAGGCAGCATTTGCCCGCACACTAGAGACCATAACGGTCAATATTTGCAGTTTATCGGAAATCCGTCTGCAAGCTTCGAGTCCCGTGTTTACTCTGCGATCTCCCACATGGGACACTGTCGGCACATTCTCATAGCGCCTGTCTGGCGATGATGCAGCTTCAAAAGCCGGTCAAGTTGGCGTCGGCATTGTTTAGTGTCGCCGGGCAGAAGCTATCCTGATCCGGATTTTGGGCGGTTCTCCGAGCTGACTGATTATTGTGCAGACGTTTCGTTGCCTGACTAGGCAACATCATCAGTGCGGTTTCAGGGGCCTGGTTCGCAGTGCCTCGTAAGCGACTTCAATGTCCAAGTGCTTATTGATCGAGTTCTGCTTTGAATACCAGGCTTCAATGAACTCACGTGCTTGCCGGCTCTTGGCCCTTCCGAGGATACTGGTATGCCCTATGTCGAATTGATGATTCTCAGCATCCATGTGCACTGACATCAGGGAGTTCTGATCGTGGCGACGTATGGCTAGGCTGTGTTCGTGTAGCCTTGTGCCAAGCGTTCTCCCAGTCTGTCCCACGTAGTACTTGTCGCAGTTCCGACAGCAGATCTTATAAATCACACCAGTTTCTTCTTCTTTTCTAAGTTTATCTTGAAGAGTTTGCTGCGAATGGTTTCCGTTGGCTGATGTGCAACTTTGACTCCTGATCGTCTGCATCCCAGTCAACAGTCGGATGTGCGCCGTTAGACTAGCTGGTTCGCCCCCGACTTTGAGGTCGTGCGGGAACAAACGGTTCCTGTTTGTCATTGCGGCCTACGCCCCCACAGATCATCATCCTCAATATACACGGTAGCTAGAGGTGGGAAACACCTGTGTATAGTGGTGCATGGTAAAAACGAAATCCGACCTATGATCGAATTGACTATTTGGCTAGCCTCCCCGGGGACTATTTTTATTTTAAGATGACTTGAGGGTGTGGAGGGTAATCCGCACATTCAGTGATTGTGATTTACTTCAGCAGGACCTCGACCGCCTCTCGACATGGTCTGCACAGGTTCACCTTCCGATCAACCCTGCCCAATCGCAATTTATGAGGTTGGGTTAGTGTGAGCACAACCGAACGTACACAGTGGCTGGTCAACCGTTGCATCCCGCGTCTTTCGCCCGCGATCTCGGTGTGCTGCGACCTAAAGTCCATTGACAACACGAATATGCTGTACCAAAACAGCCTTCGTATGCTTTGGGCCCTCAGGCGCAGCTTCAGCAATTGGTCCGAAGAGATTGCTACTCGCCTCTTCGTCTCGATAATATGACCAATGCTAGAGTACGGTTCTCCCGCGTATTGTCCCATCACCCTGGGCGAGGTAGAAAAGCTTGAGCGGGTGCAGCATGTAGCCACTAGGCTGATTCCCAACTTACTAGGTATGCCATATGAAGACCGATGTAAGAAAATAGGGCTGTACACTCTAGCTTATCGTCGGCTGAGGGTTGACCTCATCATGACGCACCGGATATTACATCTGAGTGATTACCCCATGTTGAGACAACTGTTTCATCTGCGCACACCAAGCTGCACGCGAGGACACCGGTATAAACTTATCGTACCGAAGTTGAAACGGATCGCTCTCCAACTGTGTTTCGAACGCAGAGTGGTGAATGTCTGGAACGACCTGCCGCAGCACATAGTAGAGTCGAACTCAGTGTCCGAATTTAAGAAGCTCCTAGACAAACACCTTGCAGAGGCAAAATATGGAGAGCGGAACGATAAATAAGCAGTATATGTCCAAGCGCGACGAATGATGCAGCTACACAGAGAAAGCTCTACTCGTTGCTTTGAACCAGTATTCAGCTGCTGTGCCGCAATACATAAAAGAAAAAATTCCAAGAAATGCATGCCAGCTGAGCTACCGGCAACAGATGTACATTGTTCCGGTAACCTACCAGCCGACTACTTTGCAGGAAAAGAAATTTATTATCCAAAATTATATTAGGCTAACAACTGAGATCGTTACTGGAGGTCGCGTGGAAACAAACGGTTCCCGTTTCTCATTGCGGTCTGCGCCCCTACAAACTGTAGCACTGATTCTGTGAAAGGTGATTTCTATCAGCAACTTCACGATCTCCTTCGTTACAGTGGAAGCACGGATACTGTGGTGCTGGCTGGCGATCTAAACACCCAAGTTGGAAATTCGTCCTCTGATGAGCTTCATTTGGGCGGCCAACATGGTGTAGGCTCCCGTAATGATAACCGTGAGCGATTGCTACAGCTGTATGAAGATGCTCGTCTCTTTCTCGCGAGCACAATCTTTCGATACAGCACCCGCCGAAGCGTGAGTTTGCGCCCACCATCTTCGCACCAGCCATGGACGCAAATCGACCATATCGCGATCAGTTATTGCTGGAGACGCTAGGTCCAAAGCTGTCCGTCGATTTGGATCACGAAGGTGGACTCTGACCATACACTTGTCTGCGCCGAACTAAAGGGTGCGTTTCGGTGAACGTCCACAACGTCGACGTGAACGGATTGATACCAGTCTACTGGCGAACTCAGTAGTTCTAAATGTGTATCAAAGTGCACTGATATCCGTCGACGATCACTGGTCGCATATTCGTCAAACGTTACTATCCGCAGGCATGTCTTCATGTGGCAAATCAAATTGCCAACCTGGACACTGGGTCTCTACGCAGTCTCTGGAACTTACGGATGGTCGCCGACTTATTCTGGCTGGAAGCGAATATAATGAGACTCGTAAAAATCTCGGTTCAAAACTGCGTCCTAGCCTGAAGAAGGACCGCGCAGCCTGGTGGTCTCATCTTGCCTCGGAGATGGAAACAGTCGCTACCGTTGGTACTCATCGTAAGTTATTCCATCTGATACGGGAAACAGGCAACAGGAGACTTGGTGTTAGCGGGACCATACGCGACGAGAGTGGGCAGCCGATCCACAGCCTGTCAAAACGCTCGGAGCCTTGGTTCGAACACTTTACAAGGCAATTTAACCAATCTGAGTTATCGCTTCCTTTTACAGGCATTGAGCGCCCTTCTCTCTGGGCTGTCTCCTTGGGTCCGCCCTTACGCGCCGAAGTAGAAGGTGAGATCAGGCTGTTGAAATTGCATAAGGCCACAGTGGCAGATACAATTCCCCCAGCCCTCTTCAAATTCGGGGTCCTGCTTTAATAGATGGTTTACACTAGTTGCCAGTGAAACTTTAAAAGCAGGAGACTGCCCCGTCAGACTGGAACCGCTCCGTCATTGTCCCAATTTTCAAGGGAGGCTCTTGTTCGGAATACGGCAATCATAGAGGGATCAGTCTGATTTCGATTGCCTCTAAATTGATTGCGTCTGTCATTCCTCACAGACTGACTAGCTCGCTTGAAAGCCCGATTCATGAGGAGCAAGGGGGGATTCGTCGAGGTCGGGGCTGCATCGACCACATCTTCACCTTGTGTCAATTGCTGGAGCACCGCCATGTTTACTGGCGACCCACCGTTGTTGTGTTTCTTGACATAAAAATTGCCTTCGATTCGGTGGATCGATGTGCCTTTTGGGACTGTCTGCTGAGGACAGGCGTGTCTGATAAATATATAAACATTATCAAAGCGTTGTGCGCACATAGTTCGGGCAGAGTGATGGTTTATGACAAACTGTTGCCACCCATCAGTATCGCTAACGATGTGAGACAAGGTTGCCCGCTGTCACCTTCAACTTCGCTATTGACGCAGTCATGGAATCAGCATTCGCTGGACACGACGCAGAAAGTGTGCAGCTACTTCCTGGTGAGCGACTTCTTGACTTTTAGTACGCGGACGATATTGTCCTCATATGTGACAACTCCCAAACATGTCAAACAGCACAGGACCGATTAGGGCTGGCTGTGGCGCAGACACGACATCACTCCTGCCGTGAGGGGCAGAGTTTATAATGCATCCGTCCGTTCAACACTCTTATAAGGTTGTGAAACCTGACCCATCAGGTCGACAAACATGAATAGGCTCGTCACATTCGATCATTGCCGCCTTCGCAGCTTAGCTTATGACTAGTGGTTGCACCGCGTGAGCAATGAGCATGTTCGGCGTCGTGCATTTGGTGTAGGAAGAGCTAGTGAGCTGCTCAGCACCATTATATTATGCGTGTTGCGCATGCCAGGACACCGACTTCCACGACGTGCGTTGTTTGCGAGTTTTTTGTGCGGTTAGAATAGAAAGAGGGGAGGCCAAGCGATGACTCGGTCGAGAGAAATGGAAACCCTCGCTTCACAGTTGGCGTCGGTTGGTGCATTCCGACTGCATGGCTGGGGTCATAAGTACGATGTACACGTTTGGTTGGACACACTTGGTGCTATGGCTAGGAGCAGGCCTCAATGGTGTTTGTGTTGTGAGTTCCTTTGTCCACCCCTCTTGCTTAGCCTCTCCCTCCAATCACGCTCTCATTCGCTAGGCATAATATAACTCTCTTTTTACAGCTCGATAGCTGGCTTTTAATTCTCCAGAACGATGTCCATCCGTTACTGGGAACTCAGCCGGCGTGCCACTGTATTTTTTTCTTCTTTTCTCCTGTATTGCCGCACAGTAGCTGAGGTGTTTTCCACCTGCAGTTAACGTGAATAATGATGACGAGGATGACACCGCATGCCTTGGCTCTGTCACGTATTTCGTATGTTGGAGTATCGTCTTGCACGCTGCTCGTTATTTGCGCTCCCCGGAAGCGATTGGAAAATGTGCCGCGCTAGACAACCAATGATGTGGAGCAGGAACATAAGGAACGGAACCTCAAGCTTAGCATCCATCGGACTGCTCCACCTTCCAGGATGGGGATTACGCTATTCGGACTGCTAGTGGTTAGAAACGGTTGACTATGGCGCGCAACCGGCATCACTGGAGATAATACTGTTCAATCGTGGTCCCTCTTTGGTAACGTCTCATGGAACATAGAACTCAAGCATCAAAAAATCCCAAAGCGGCAAGTGCAAAAGCGAAAAAGTCGTTTTCTTCATGTTATACTTGATTTCCCTCGTTTATTTCGCAATGCTTCTCGTTGCGTGCCTGTTTTTCCCACCCTCGTCAACCGTAAGAACTCGCAACGATCTGCTCACAGAGGCTGTATTCTCAATTCTCAGGTAAAGTACAACTAACTGATTTTAAAAATTCACCTGCCCACTCGATCGACCGCCTGATCGACCACACTGCGGCAGGCGATTCCATTAGCTCCAGCTGTCAGTCCCACCACAGTTCTGATGGCACGTTATCTGTAATCAGATTGTGCACTATCATTTCTCCGACATGAAAAAGAGACACTATGCTCAAAATGGATGAGTATTGTAACAGACAGGGTGTCCTTGATCACCGCTAATGTGTGCAGAAAATAGCGCTAAATTTTATTAAATCGGTGATAGCCTACTTGCTATTTTCCCCACCGGCGCACAGCCAGATGCAGCATGGGAGTGCAAGTGAATCCTTTTGAGGGAATACCTTACATGGAATCAGGTCTCCTGAAGACGGTTCCATGAATGGCGCTAAATCTGTACTTGTTATTGTTTCCAGTTTTTCATTACAGAAATCTGTTTGGGATGCATGGTATAAAACATGGACAGTTTCCTATTTAGTGCGATCTCCTTGTACACATTGATCTGACCAATCAGTTGAACTGTGCCTCGCACCGTCGACGAATATACCATTTATCTATTTGATATCAGATTTTTTATATAGTTGGCCTCATCCGGATTCCCCGGACATTGCGGCCTCCACGGGGCAACCACAGGACGCGTGTGCCTACAGACTCTGTAGTACCGGGAACCATGGGTGGCTTGCGCTGCACCACCCACATACCCCATATCCAGTGTAACCCCGAAGGGATAAGCCTGGGAGGCATGTGGATGGGCGCCACATTTCATCAACGAAGCCGGCCCACACTCCTTCACTGGCAAACATGATCAAGCAGTATTTGGAGAATCAAGCGCACACAAGGCGGTGGCTGGACCGTAGTCCGCTCCACCCTGAGTGCATGGAACCACTCTTCGAGCTTAACACGGTCACGAGGACCGTGCACCTCGTCACCTCCAGCAACGACCAACTGTCTCCTGGAGCCAGTATAGACGGGGTGGTGGGTAACAGACAGGTAGGCTTCTTGTCACCTTGCACATCAAGCGCAGCCACCGGGGATGTCAAGCAACAACCAATCACTTGAAATGACATTACCAAAAAATTGATCAAAAGCACCATACGGATATGTCGAAATAACTCTTCGCTAAATTACCACATGAAATATTTGGCTCATCAACAATTCCGTGATAAATTCAAACTGATAGAACAAGCGATCAAAAAACATGCAACAAACGAGAAAAAAATAAACGAAGTTAGCCACCTTTCGTTTAAGCGACATGTGCAAGTTAATAGTTTATGTAGACATTTAAATGAGCTAATAAGATAAGCATGAGGACAATATACCAAACCAATCACCTGAACTAAAGAAACTTGGCACGCAAGCCCGCTGTTAGTAAATCGAATGAAAGCGCATGCAGCGTACATACCAACGCTGCGCCGGTTCTGCATACGTTCTCAACAGAATCCGTTGTCATTTTGGTGTTGGCCCCGAGTGGTCTCGCTCATGGCTCACTAGGCCTGCCTGACTCAAACACTCACGACCGCATGTGCTACAGCTCCAGGCGCTCGATGTCGATGGAGTACAATCCATCGGTGCTTGCCGTTTCCGCACTTGCCGCTTCTTCTCTGCATGTATGAGGTCTTTTTTCCGCACTTCGGCAACTGCCTTCGTGATCAGATCGTGCCATGCACACCGATCAACCGCTTTCGATTCCCATGATTTGCAATCAAGATTAGAACGTGAGAGACTCACTTTGATCACGTCCTGGTAACGTAACTCTGGTTTCCCCACATGCCGCTTCCCAATACTCAGCTGACCGTATAAGAGTTGTTTCGGTATCCGCGTTGAATCCATACGCCACACATTACCGAGCCAGCTCAGATGTCTCAGTAAAAGTATGCAGTCCACTGCATACAACACTTTCGTGTCTGCAACTCTGTCGCCCCAACTGATGCGTAAAATTCGTCGCAGACACTGCTGATGGAACCGCTCAAGATATCGCACATCCCGACGGTACGTCGTCCACGTTTCACTGCCGTATAGAAGGACGGACAGCACCATGGATTTGTACACCATCAACTTCGTGTCAACGGTAACCTGGTGGTTGTTCCACACTCGGTACTCCAGTTTCCCGAGTGCCGCTATTGCCTTCGATACGCGGATACAACGCTCACTGTATATTTACTGGTTAGTCGAAACCACACTTCCAAGGTAGCAGAAGCGGGAGGTGGTTTCCAATAATTCATCACCAATAGTGATTGGCGGTATCCGGTTTCGGATTTGCCTGTCACTGTGGCCAGCCACAGGACGCCTGCGCCTACAGAGGGAACATGGATAGCTTGCGCTGCACCACCCACAGCTCCATCCACACACCCCATATCCAGTGTAAACCAGTGGGAATAAGACCGGGAGGCATGTGGATGGGAGCCACGTTTCATCAACGGAGCCGGCCCACACTCCTTCACAGACAAACACAAGCACGCTGTATTTGGGAATCAAGCGCACACAAGGCGGTGGCTGGACCGTAGTCCGCTCCACCCTGAGTGCATGGAACCGCTCTTCGAGCCTAGCACCTCCACAAGTACGGTGCACCCCGTCCCTTCCAGCAACGACCAACTGTCTCCTGGAGCCAGTATGGACGAGTTAGTGCGTACTAGACAGGTAGGCGCCTTGTCAACGTGCACATCAAGCGCAGCCAATCATTCGAAATGTCGGTATCGGTTAAACGATATCGAATGAAGTAAACTCATATGATGACATAAATACTCGCTAACTGAACATATGGAAGAAAGTGGTTATAAGCGAATCCGCGATAAGTACAAAATGTTCTGAAGTTATTTAAAGTATACCACTTGATAAAGTTACACAAGTATACTACAATTAGTATGAGGGACGTGCGCAAGTTAGGGGAACATTATCAGGTACGCAGAACAAACATATAAAGTGGAATGAATTTTACCATATATATATATATATATATATATATATATATATATATATTAAACGGCTAGACTGTAGTTACGGATTCCATGTGACATTCTTTATTAACTGGCCTGTGGACATGAATTGTCGGGTGAGGTATAACGGAGTAAACTTTTCCTTGGGAAAATTTAGGTACCGGATTATGAACTTTCATTCTCCAATTGTTTTCACTTGCGCTTTCTGTGGTGTGCAGCTAGTGGATGGACCATTTTGAATCGTCAAGACTTCGGGCGCTGGATGGGGCTAATCTTGAAGGAAAAGGTCTTGTTTGCGCTTTGTCTGGAATGCTGCAATGGAATGTAAATCTTGTTGCATGAACGAATAGGATTGCAGGTAAATTCTAATAAGTGAGTCCCAACCAATTTCCCTCTTCCAACCTAGATGGCGAAGGAACTGTTTTGTATGACTCAGGAGTAACCTCTAAGGATTGATTGGTCTGGTGGGATTTTTTTAAGGCGCCAGTCATTACAACCCAGTGCGGCGCGATAACCTGCGTTACGCAAAGATATTTTCTCGCGCCCTGAAAGAGGTTGACGTTTCTACCCTGATTGTTTGCATTGTACCTTAGATCCTTTTTCTCTCCTCTCGTTTCTTTTATTAATTGTCTTCTTGTTTTTGTAGGATGACGAAACATTGATATTAAATAATGACTCACTACTGTTCTTAACGTCGATGACGTTGCTTATTGTTCCCTTTCACTTTTTCTGTTAGAGTTGCGTATCTTCCCTTTTCGCTAGGGTATGTTTTTCAAACGAAACGTTGTAGTCGATTTCATTGATCTTACAGTTACATTTAATGTACTAACCTAATAAATGTGTAGTGACCATTTCTGTCCAGATTTCTGTCACCGGAAGCACTTATCACTCAGATGGGTATCGGCGACCTATTTTGTACAATGTGTTCCTCCCGACTGTATACTGGCTACTTGTCGCCCATCCCCTGATTTAGCGTCAGAGTAACAATGGAAACCGACACTTGAAAGTGATCCACGATGACGCTCAATTTGCACCTTACAACTTTGGATGCTGCTGATGTCAAATGGCTGCGCGTTGTTGTTGTTTTGTACCATGCATAAAAGCAAACCTTTCCTTTTAGGGTTTCATGGATTTATTTCCAACCATCTGCTCGGCCCTGCTTCTCTTCTTATGCTGGCGCTGTCTCGTTCCTTTGGCTCTCATCATTTTTCGCTACACTGCTGGTCAGAAATTATATAGTAAACGGAAGAAACTTCGCACAGCTGGAGAATGGGCTATAATAACCGGTGGTACGGATGGTATCGGTCGGGCGTTTGCCGAGGAGCTCGCCTCAGATGGACTAAGCATTATGCTGATAAGCAGAAATATCACCAAGTTGGAGTCGGTTTCGACTGAAATAAAAACCAAATATAACGTTCCTGTCAGGTATATCGTGGCCGACTTCACCCAAGTAAGTATGAATATTTAACGTGCCACATGCTGATTCCGGTCTCATTTGACAGCAGATGGTTCGTTTCGTCGCGGCCACACGTATCTGGACTTGCTGATCATAAGTGTGTTTAATTCTCGCGTTAGTCACTAACTACAGTTACTGATGATCGCGTTGTCCGGATTCTGAGTGGATCATTGTCACTGAAATCAATATAGAATTTTTGTGGTCAATGCAGCCACGAACTCGACGAAACCTGGCTTGCTGTTCACGAATATGGCTTACAGAGCGCAAGTCTTTTGAAGGATTATAGAGGCAAGCAATTTGGAGGCGATGGAGATCAGACTGATTCCTCTATCGTTGCCACAATCCAAACGCGAGCCTCCTTTGAAGATGGGAACAATAACGAAGCGACTCCAGTCGGTTGGGACAATCTCCTGCTCCCACAGTTTCACTAGTAATTCATGTAAAGCATCAACAAGAGCAGAGCCTCCGAATTTGAAGCGGGCTGGAGGAAGATCATCTGGTCCCGCGGCTTTGTTCAACTTCGACAGCCCGATCTCACGTTCGAATTCTGAGCGAGAGGGTGGATCCAAAGCGACAGCCCACGGAGTAGGGTGATCACTGGCCGGTGAGGAATCTGACAATTGCGGTCGGTTAAATTGCTTTTCAGTACGCTCAGGCCAACGCTCCAAGCGTTTTGACAAGTTGTGGATAGGCTGTCCACTCTTGTCACGTATAGTTGCACTAACACCAGGTCTCCTGCTGCCTGTTTCCCGTATCAGATGGAATAACTTCCGATGGTTACCAAGGGCGGCGACCACTTCCATAGCTGATGTACGCTGAGACCACCAAGTTTCGCGGTCTCTCTTCACGCTAGCACGAGGTTTTGCGGGGAGGTTTCTGCGAGACTCATTATGTTCGCTTCCAGCCGGAATGGGCTGGCGACGATCGATAAGTTCTAGAGACCGCGAAGAGACCCAATATCCATGTTGGCGATTAGACTTACCACATGAGGATTTGCCTGCTGCTAGTAAGGTCTGTAGAACACGAGACAAGTGACCTTCAACTGCATCCAGTGATCGCTTACTCCACTCCTATGTCAGCGTACTTGTATTGACATTCAGAACAGCTGGTTTCGCCAGTTGGCTGGTGTCTATGCGCTCACGGGGTTGTCTTGGGCGTACGCCTAAACGCATCCGCATACCAGCACATACAAGTACATGGTCGGTGTCCACACGTGCTCCAAATCGAACGACAGTTCTGGATGCAGCCTCTCCATCGGTAACTTATCGCAATGTGATTGATTTGCGTCCATAGCTAGTTCGTACTTGGTTGGCGCCAAGTTACTATCCGGTGGGTGCTGAGTCGGAAATTAGTGCTCACGAGAAATAATCGAGCTTCTCCACACAAATGAAGTAACCGCTCACCGTTATCATTGCGGGAACCTAGACCGTGTTGGCCGTCCAAATGCAGCTCATCAGTGGAGAATTTCCCAACTTAAGCATCCAGGTCCCCAGCCAGCACACCAGTGTCCTTGCTTCTTCTGTGGTGATGCAGCTAGTTCATTTGGCGATAAAGATCGTCTTTTATGGAATCACCACTTGAGTTTGTGGTGCATAGGCAGCGATAACGAATAGACACCTGTTAGTCCCACGCGATCTCGAAGCTTTGGACGAGCCAGCCAATCGGACTGCATACATCCGGCTACTGACTGGAATCCAATCAACCCGAGTAGCTTCAGCCCGGGGACTCATGGCAATACCAACACAGGCTTGGCCGGTACTCGAAACTACATCGTCTCCGGATAGGCGCAATAAGAAAGTGTTGCTAGTTTCACTTGAAGCAGATCACAAAAGGAGCACTGAGCTCGAGTTTTGCAGGCAGGTCTCCGATAAGCAGCAGAATTCGATCGAGAGGGTCTCCAATGTTCGGGCAAGTGCTACCTGTTGACCGATCTGTGACAATGTGCGTACATTGAGGCATGCCAATCTGAGGGAGGATCTGGGGCTCCAACTAAAAGCCCATGTACTGGGCTTGAGCGTCGGCTTGGACGTGGGCTTATCGACAGGGAAGGGATGACGCTCCCCGTTCGCATGCGAGTTGTAACTAGAAGACACATTATTCTTCAGCAGACAGCCCCAAGGGGCATGTCGATCCACTGAATTGAAGGCGCTTTTGATATGGAAAAGCACGACAACGGTAAGTTGCTGATATATGTGACGGTGCTCCATCAGCGGACGTTATGTGGTTGATGCAGCTTCGACCTCGACGAAACCCGGCTTGCGCCTCACGCATCTGACTTTCACAGCACAAGTCAGTCTGTGAAGGTTTACAGAAGCAAGTGGCTGGCTTGCGGAACACCCTTGTGGTCCCAACTGGTTGTTTCATGATTATCCCGTCCCAATAAATCGTTCGGTGGCAGTATTCCAGGAGGCGGGGCATTTTCGTTTGGCAAGCAATCTGGCTACAACAACACTGTGACGTGGTGTATGTGACTCGCCATTATATAGTCACTGCTGCGTGCTCCATACTGGCGAAGCATTGTATTCTAACAACTCAATGCTGCAATTATTGTGAGCATTTTGCCCCTATTCGGCAAAGGAACAAACGAAAGTCGTATGAACTGGACAATCAGTCACCGGCTCCCAATGGACGCGATTCCCTGAATTCGCTCCGCTGCCTTGCGGGCAGGCCATTCGGGCGAAGGGTCGGGGTGGTGTCCCTCCAGTCCACACCCTACTTCTGCTTGGACAACCGGGTAGTTCCTCGCCCTCTGACGAAACAATCAACTTTTCCATGTTGTGTTGTGTTTTTTAACCATATCTGTACCTTCCTTTGCGTTCCATGGTTTTTTTTGATGGCTTCTTGAAGGTGATGGGGATCAGACTGCTTCCTCGATGGCTGCCGCCATCCGAGCTTTGAAGATGGAAACTGTCCTGACAGACTGGAGCCGTTCCGTCATAGTCCCAGTTTTCATTGAAGGCTCCCGTTAGGAATGCGGCAGAGGGATCAATCTAATCTCAATTGCTTCGAGATTGCTTGCGTCTGTCTTCAACCGATTGGCTGGCACTCATGAAAGCCAGATCTGTGACGAACAAGCCGGGCTACATCCAAGTCGGCGCTGCATCGATCACATCTGCATATTGTGTCAAACATGGGAACACCGCCATGTTTATTGGCGACCCACCGCTGTCTCGGTTCTTGACATAAAAGGCGTCTTCCATTCGGTGGATCGATGTGTCCTTTGGGACTCTCTGTTCAGGAGAAGTGTGTCTCATAATTAATATCAGAGCGCTGTGCGCGCGTAGTCCGGGCAGAGTGAGGGTTTATGGCCAACTGTCGCCATCCTTTAACATCTCAAGAGGTGAGAAACAAGGTTACCCGTTGTCATCTTTCCTCTTTTACTTTGCCATTGACGAAGTCATGGAGACAGCATTCGCTGGAACTAATTTCTGGTGAGCGACTTCTTGACTTGGAGTATGTGGACGATATTGTCCTAATCTGTGACAGCACCCAAACGTGCTAGGCTGCACTGGACCGATTAGCGCTGGTTGTCAACCGTTTTGGACTATGTTTTGCTTTATCGAAATTCTAGGTATTTTTCGGAAATTGGCAGAGACTCATTCCTGCGCTGACCCTTGGTGGGGATAAGCCAGAAATCGTTCAGAAATTCAAGTATCTGGGCAGCTATATTAGCGCACGAGGAATGCAAGATGAGGTTACGAACCGTATAGCAAAAGCTCGAGGTGCTTTCGCCAGTCGCCGCCATCTGTGGTGCAGACGCGACATCACTCTCGTCCTGAAGAACAGGGTTTATAGTGCAGCCGTCCGTTCAACCCTCTTATAGGGTTGTGAAACCTGGCTCTTCAGGTCGAGAAATATAGAAAGGCTCGTCATGTTTGATCATCGCTGCCTTCGCAGCTTAGCTCATGTATAGTGGGAGCAGCGCTTGATAAGTGAGCGTGTTCGGCATCGCGTGTTTGGTGCAGGAAGAGCGAATGAACCGCTCAGCACCATTAGATCACGCTCCATTCACCGATGGTCGGGCCACGTGTTGCGCATGTCGTCATGCCGAATCGCGCGAACTGCATTGTTTGGGCGCCAGGTGTGCGGTTGGAAGAGGACGAGTGAACGCCAAGCGATGACTTGGTCGAAAGAAGTGAAGTCACGCACCTCGAAGCAGGCGTCAATTGGTGTATCTGGACTGCGTGGCTGGGGTCCTAAGGACGATAAACACGTTTGATTGGGCACAATTGCTGATATGTCGAAGAACCGGTCCCAATGGCTTCTGTGTTGTGAGTTTCTTTGTCCATCCCCTTCTCGTTTAATTCCCCTCCAATTCCGGTCTCATGCGGAATGCATAGTATTCTATTTAACCTTATATTACTTGCTTTTTGAATTCTTTGTTGTGCACTTTCCTATTCTCTTACCTTTTTGTGTTGCTGGTGTGTGTTTCTCACCCTCAGCTAACGTGTATTTGTGATCATTATCCAGCTGTGTGCTCTGCTTAGTCCATATGTTGATTCAACGAGGAGTTATGGCTCTATTCCAGGACCTTGTGGTACCCGGCATTCGACTTTAATTGGCTCGGGCGGAGATCGATAAGCCTTCGCTTACTTGTGCCATTGACGGATAGAGTTGCGAATCTAATACATTATTGGGTCGCCCTAAGATACACTGACGTAAAGTTCGTTGTTTAGCCAGTGTATATTAATAAGTGAAAGATGCGATCACCGTGAGCTGTTATAGAGCCGCCGGACCTTATATGGAGGATGGAACAATGATTTATTACGGGTGAAAAAGCATTGCTTAACAAGTGCCGTAGGATGAAAATTATTGAGAAAATTAATTGCATGATAAAGAGAACATCGTTGTGGTGGATTCACCATAGACTTATGTGGAATATCGATGTTCGCGTATTAAACGTATAAATCCATAAATCCATTGGTTAGGCCTTTGGCAAGACACCGTTTGATTGCGTTATGTAGCCCCTGGCTAACAAGTCATAAAATGAAATGCAAGTGAGACAATGCATTGTCAACACGTTTTTTTAAATATCGCCAAATTGGGAGCAGAGACGACATAATTAACGATGGCGTTTCAAGGCTGACACACGCGGAGGGAAAAGAAATTTTTACGGCATTCAAGCCTGCTATACTGAATTGTCAGTTTCAGGGGGTGACCTCTTAGTTTAGTGTTGTGGTTCAATTTCAACAGCGGACGGCAGGTGGGGTTTGGATTCTTCAGGATGGATATTGTCAGGCTATGCAGATCTAAGCAGATATCACGAAGTGGTACTGTGCATTTATTTTGCAATTTCTGGCATATCCTCTATTATATTGACTGAAAATGTATGTTGTTACCAGAAAGTATCACCAGGGATCAAGCGTACTACTGACAGTTAGAGCCTTTACTTGGCATAACGATGGGAGGTGGGGCACAAAATTTAGATATTTTAACAATTTATTCTTATAACTGAAAGTAATTCTCTTAACAGTTATTAATATCTTCATGTATAGTATTGCATTTACACATATATATATGTTGTGAGTGTTTTTTTGAACTCGTTATTTCTTAGGCTGTAATAGCTCATAAGAGATACTTGACAGATAGGCTGCTCTGGAGGATCTGCCTTCCGATGTAGATACACCTTGTGAGAGCAATTCAGACGAAGAACTGAAGAAGGCAGCTGATGCTGCCGGTTTTACGGAATTTCAAAATACTGTACAACTTCCAAACAGTGCTCCCAGTGACAGTGATGTGTCACTAACTGAATATGATAGGAAGTGAAATAAGACAACACTATCAAACAGTCTGCCATATTTCACACGAGAAGTGGGCCCAGTTCCATAGGATTTTGTAAGACAGAACACAGCTGACGATATTTTTCTCCTAGTACTACTTCAGTTTGTAATTGAGAATTTAAGTTTTCAAACATTTGTACATCTAACAAAAGCAAAAAAGGATGATGTCTGTCGACATCGAAGAAATGTATGCACTCTTGGGGCTTTAATTTTCGCTTGCTTACCATCATTTACCAAATCTTATAACCATACTAGTCCAGTGATGTGAACATCGCGGTACCAGTGGTTACGGGAAGTATGTAAAGACAGATATTTTGAAATTCTTTAAAATCTGCTCCCGAATGATAATAATGCCGTTCCGGAAGGTAACGTGTATAAACTTTATAAGATTGGACGTCATTCGGCATCTCAGTCACAATTTCAAATGATTTGATTACCTCTTGCAGTGCAGAGTATAGATGAGAGCATGGTTCTCTTCAAAGGTTGTTCAACACTAAGAGAGTATAACCCAATGAAGGCAGTAAACCGTGGTTATAACATATGGTATAGGGCTGTTATGAGGGGTTATATTTATGAATCTGAAGTGTATCAAAGCGGCGTTCCCCACGGCACTGTACTGGGACCGATATTGTTTCTGATCCATGTAAACGATGTGCCTAAGCTACTCCAATCACCATGTGCGTTGTTCGCAGATGACTTGAAGGTGTGGAGAGTAATCCGCACACTCAATGATTGTGATTTACTTCAGCAGGATCTCGACAGCCTCTCAACGTGGTCTGCAGTGGGTTGCCTTCCGATCAACCCTGCGAAGTCGCAGTTTATGAGGTTGGGTAAATGCGAGCACAGCCGAATGTACACAGTGGCTGATCAACCGCTGCATCCCGCGTCTTTCGTGCACGACCTCGATGTGCTCTCACGCTGCGACCTAAAGTCCATTAACAACACGAATAGGATGTACCGAAACAGCCTTCGTATGCTTTGGGCACTCAGGCGCAGCTTCAGCAATTGGTCCGAAGAGATTGCTACTCGCCTCTTCGTCTCGATAATACGTCCAATGCTAGAGTACGGCTCTCCCGCGTATTCTGTCATCACGCTGAGAGAGGTAGAAAAGCTTGAGCGGGTGTAGCATGTAGCCACTAGGCTGATTCCCAACTTACGAGGTATGCCATATGAAGACCGATGTAAGAAACTAGGGCTGTACACCCTAGCATATCGTCGGCTGAGGGTTGACCTAATCATGACCCACCGGATATTACATCTGAGTGATTACCCCATGTTGAGACAACTGCTTCATCTGCGCACACCAAGCAGCACGCGAGGACACCGGTACAAACTTATCGTACCGCAGTTGAAGCGGGTGGCTCACCAACTCTGTTTCGAACGTAGAGTGGTGAATACCTGGAACAAACTGCCGCAGCCGGTAATAGAGGCCAATTCAGTGGCCGAATTTAAGAAGCTTCTAGACAAACACTTCGCAGAGTCAAAATATAAAGAGCGAAACGATAATTAATACGTTAATGCCCAAGAGCGACAACTGATGCAGCTACACAGAGTATGCTCTACTCGCTGCTTCTAATCCGTATCAGTATCACAGGACACTCTAAATTCTAAAGGCAGATTTGGATTGGGGGGGGGATGTGTTACGGACAAACTCACCCAACTTCGGAAAGGAGGTGCTTATGTTGCGGTAATGCATAATTGTCTCACCTCTGTTGAACTATTTGAGCTTCTGAAAGCAAACAACAGTTTTGCCTGGAGTACTATCCGTCCCAACAGGAAACATATTCCTACACTTCAAGCGGGCAAAAAGAGGTGATTTGGATTATCGTTCTGCAGCTCAAGGAAAGAAAGCAAGCGTGTTTATCTGTTGCCCAATTACTACGGAGTGAATCTGTTACTCTGAGGCGTAGAGTGGGATGAAATGGCGACCGAGGTAGTAGCGCCTAAGCTAATGCAAAAGTACACTTCAGCCATGGGCCGAGTAGACAAAGCAGATGTGCTGTGCTCAACATATGATTATGATCGAAGTCAAAAAGTCCTGACACATGCTGTTTTTTGCATTGATGGAGATGGCATATGTCAATGCACATGTGATGTATAAGGACATGCATCACGATCCCTCATTGTAAGAGTTTCGAAGCAAATTGGCAATGAGACTTGTTACTATGCAACACCGACCAGTGAGAAAAGTGGTCGTCCTTCACTCAAAGCGATGTCATCACCAGACGAACCAAAGCGACAAAGAAAATACAAGTATTCAGTGCCTAATGACACCAGGACACAGAACCTTGACGCTCACTGGCCTATGTTTGTTGCAGGATGGAGGTGTGCAAGGTTTACCACTCGAAAGATCCAATCGAGGATGCATTTTAGATGTTCTTTTTGTAATGTATTTTGCCCTGCAATGACAAAAGATCTGTTTTCAGACAGCATGTACAGTAATCCACTTTCATGTCGGTCGGTGGTCGAATGGTCTGCACGCCTGGCTTACAATCTTAAGCTCACCGATTGCAATCCGCATAGAGTCGGGCGTCCTTACGGTTTACTCAGCCCACGCGCGACTGGTGGTAGTCGCGTGGCAGCGAAGCGCCGTTACGGCCTACCGCTTTTGTGAAGCTGGTATCGTACTGCTTCACTGCTGCTATTCTGCGCCTGAGAGACTACAACCGCCTGATTGCTCAGTCACATGCCCAACCAACCGACGGGATACAGAAGACCAAGGCTCGGTAAACAGGGAGTCTATTCTACACGATAGGTCAGTTCTATTTATTGGTGAACGAAGCATACTAATTTTGGAAGCGTTCGGCTCTCAGCCAAAGTGAGTTAATTCCGTCCCACGGATTTTCCATATTTGGCAGAATGGTTCGCTTCCGTTGACTCGGGCTTGTATTTGCTGGCCAATCAGTTTGCACCCGATTCCCAAATTTGGCAAAACCGTGGAATGTCTTTCGACGCTCGTGCTTGTGACGTTCGCATGTAGCAGACCGCTCAGTGCTCCGCGTTAAGCCTGTGCGCGACCTCGTATCTGGACATTGGCTCCGCTTACCTCTCTATTCCAGTTGGCACATTATATTATTATTATTATTATTATTATTATTATTATTATTATTATTATTTACTGTACCTGCATGATGACAATGTTATTGACCTATGTTCCTGTTGGTACTTACAATACCATCTAAAAATAAACGTCGAAATGTTTATAAAAATTCATTAACTTATTTCTACGTTTATTACTAACATTATAAATAATGAAAAAGTTGTAGGTAAACTTGTTCACGATTCAAAGGGATTAACGTATAACGATTCGCCTCAGTCGAAGTTATATTTCACTCGGGCGTTTGCTGCTTGGTGAAGAAACTATTAACTGGTGATCACTGAATTCCGGATTAGGATCGCACTCGGGTTGACTGAATCTAGAGAGCTAGGACAAACCCCAAATGTATCCGAATTACGATATGGAAAGCGGATAACCTGAATCTCATTTTCCCCCTATCGGTATTGATGATCACCGTTTTTCCATGCTCGCTCACCGTTGCAATTAAGCATGCGTCTCTCCACTGGCACACACGGATAATAGCTCAAGGCAAAATGGCTGGCAGATATAGATGCTTTCAATCACTTCTATTCGCTGCTGATCTCTCTTCTACCGTCCGTTATTTTTCTAGGTTGATATCTACGAGTCTATAAGAGACGAACTCTCCACTCTGTCCTCAATCGCATGCTTGATCAACAACGTTGGTATGGTGAACGTCGATCCGGTGGAGTTTGCTCTTGACGATGACATGCGTGTCGAAAAAGTTCAACAATTCCTTGCTTGTAACTGCCTCTCAGCCGCATCTTTGACGCACATTGTTCTACCTCGCCTAGTGGCACAGAACTCCGGATCCGCCGTCATCAATGTCTCTTCGTTCAGTGGGTGTACTCCGCTACCATACCTTACGTTATATGGAGCCACCAAAGCATTTGTCCGCCAGCTGTCGTGCTCGTTGGAATTCGAATTGCGTGGTAAGAACATCATTGTCCAGACTCTCGCTCCCATGTATGTGGCGACATCGATGGTTCGCGATAAACGCGGCACATTCATCATATCGCCAAGACAGTGCGCCAAGAGTTCGTTGGACATGTTGGGAGTTGAGACTTTGTGCATGGGTCATATCATCCATGCGCTGCAGATCTTCTACTTTTCATTAGTGCCGCAATCTCGTTTCAATGAGTCGATGCTAGGCAAATTGCAACGTGCTCGAATCCGGAAGAGCCAAGTCGGTTAAACATTGTTTTCACTATCAACACTATTTTGGTAACCTTATTTCCTACGCGTTACTTAACTGATCGGTTCCTCTTTCATCTTTCACCTAACAGCTTTCATCCACAACCGATTAAAGCCAAATTATATCACATATTTTTTACACCGACATGTTTTGTTGTAGACCTCGTTGGATTTTACTACATATTGCATACAGAGTGCCATAACTATTATGGTGCGTTCTCCTCCCAAATAACCCTTAATCATCCTTATTGCCACAAGTCACTCGTTCGCACTATGCAAACGTATTTGCTTAATACTATTGTTGCAGTTTTTAATCTCAAACTTTAACTGCACGTATCTCGGCTCAAACGTAACATTTTTGTTAGTTATAAAAACTATTTGAATTGACACACTTTTAACAATAGGAACCAAGTTTATTTATCCCGGGTAAAATCGGTAAAGGCGGTTTCCGCATCTCCTTAGGTTTTGACACTTTCCTCTCAGCGAAAGTTATCCAGGTGCGTGCAACAAGGGCAGACGACACCTCAATAGGACGACTTTGCTTTTCATTCAATTCTTGCGGCATTCCAATGTTCGGTAAATGTTTTAAAACTGTCACTTGTGGTGCTGTTATGTTAGCAGCAAGAACCCCCAACAGTTTTACGCGAGTCCGATTTAACTAAGACGTTTAATTGATCATTGTTCAATCCCAACGACGGTCCACAACTCTTCAAGCCTCTCGGAATCTTTACGAAATTTTTTAAACCACTATTGTCCAGTACGGTTCTTAGTGGTTCCAACACCAAATGCACTGTTGCTGTCTTGGGCTTTTTCCGCAGCATTTCAATCAAGTTTAAATTGCTGTAAGAAAATTGTGCGTATTTATCTTCTGTCCATGTTGCATTAAATGTTCTATAAATATGTAAAAGTGTGTTTCTGAGCTAAACTATCACTATTGCTAGCTAGAGCGTAAAGCCGGCTTCAAAATGATCGGCGAAGTCAAAGCAGCTTCTTAAAAATAGTTTAAAAACAGTAAAAAAATAACTTGACTACCAACCTAATAGAGGGAAGTTTCTCCTTCATGCAGGTGATAACTTTTAGGAATAGTATTGTTTCAGAAGTTTTTCTCACATGTCCATTCGTCCTACTGACCCGGTTCCATGTGTTATCCATCCAAGTTACTGAGAAAACTAGGGGGAACAGATCCCATTTCCCAACATGAATCACACATACCGGTGAACTATCGTTGTACCGATGAGATAGTTACACTGATTTCTCTATATGATGTCTTTTATGGCGGCATGGCTTTGCCATCGTTGGTTGACTGGATTCCCGTGCACAGCCGTTTGATGACATCGACTAAGGTTGATTCACGAAGTAGCACAAGACGCTGTTTGTTTGTGCTTTTCACTTATGCTCCCACCGACTGCAGTTTTGATGCTGCCAAGGACTCATTCTACCACGAACTGAACATGCCACTACTCAGTGCTACCAGTTCAGCTATCATGGTACTTGCAGAGGATATGAATGCACAAGTAGGTCGTCTGAGCTCTTCAGAAACTCACCTAGGTGGTACCTATGGGTTTGACTCCAAACGGGCGGACAACGGCGAGCGTCTTTTGCAACTGTGCGCGCAGCATCAGTGGGCGCTCAAGTGCTACTTGGCGTCCTTCCGCAGCTGATCAGCGATGGATTCAAATAGATCACGTTGCCGTAAGTTACAGGTGGCGTGGTTACATCCTGGATTGTAGCTTTTTCTGGAGTACCTGTGTCGACTCTGATCATGCCCTGGTACACTGTCGTTTTTCCATGATCTTTGCTTGGAGGCATACCAAACGTCTCCCTCGATTGGTCACTAACAAATTATCTCAGCCTTCGGTCAGGCAAGTCTACCAAGGTTGCGTACCGAACTTTCGCTCCTTTGTCCTAATGACACTGCATGTGGTTGTAGTACCATCGGTCGTCACCCCATCAGTTATTGGATATCCGACAGATCGGTGAAACTGTTGGAATCCGGGAGAAACTTCCCCGCTGGCCTTGAGCACAATGTGACCAGACGGACTATTTGGCGTGAAATGAAGCGGGGCCTGCGCGCTGACAAAGAAGCCTGGGGATCAGTAGGGCACAAGAAATAGAGGCGGGAGCAGTAGGGAACCATTGCAAACTCTTCCAGCTGATCCACACCAATGGTCCCAGGAAACCAGGCGTCACTGAGACAACGAAAGGCAGCACTAGTGCCATGACTCACAATAAGGAGCGCCGTATGGCCCGTTGGGCAGACACTTGCAAGGGAAGTTCAGTTGGCCTCATTCCTCCGGATCTCTTCCTACTCAGCTGATGTAGGCTGAGCCATGGACGGTTAGGTTAGTGGTATCATCGGAGACTGATGTCCGAAACGTGATCGCACCCCTCAATCGTTTTCCTGCTGCTGGCCCGGATTCCCTTTCACCTACACTATTTAAGGATATAATTGAAGTCCTTTGTAAAGCACCTACCTTCCTGTCGAACATGTATGGAAGGAGAAGACCGTCCCGGCTAACTGGAGTGAATCGCTTATGGTTGGCGGCATCCGGTTTCGGATTTGCCTGTCACTGTGGCCAGCCACAGGAAGCCTGCGCCTACAGAGGGACCATGGCTGGCTTGCGCTGCACCACCCACAGCTCCAACCACACACCCCATATCCAATGTAAACCCGAAGGAATAAGACCGGGAGGCATGCGGATGGGAACCACGTTTCATCAACGGAGCCGGCCCACACTCCTTCACTCGCAAACACAAGCGCACACAATGCGATGGCTGGATCGTAGTCCGCTCCATACTGAGTGCATGGAACCACTCTTCGAACCTAACACGGCCACAAGGACCGCGCACCCCGTCCCCTCCAGCAACGACAAACTGTCTCCTGGAGTCAGTATGGACGAGGTAGTGGGTAATAGACAGGTAGGCACCTTGTCAACATGCACATCAAGCGCAGTCACACCGGGAATATCAAACAACAGCCAATCACTTGAGAGAAAGATAACAAAGAAAATAAATCGAGTAATGCATAAGGAAACGGTGACATAAATCTTAAATTAATGAGCATATGAAATAAGTTGTTTACCAACGAATACGAGGTAAGTTCACGAGGTCAGGAAGTTTACTTTACGGAAATGCTACAAACACGAAAATGTTATCGAAATAACTACAAGTGGCTTAAGCGAGGTGTTGAAGTGTATAGAAGAGAGTACAAGTAGGCATTTAAATGGGAAAGAAAAGCATTAGGACAAAATTGAAAACCCACCACCTGAACTAAAGAGATTTAGCATGCAAGCACGCTGTTAGTAAATCGAATGCAGTGTACCTACAGACGCTGCGCCGGTTCTGCCTACGTTCTCTGCAGGACCCGTCGTCCCTTTGGTGGTGGTCCCGAGTGGCCTCGCTCATGGCTCACTAAGCCTGCCTGACTCAGGCACTCACGACCGCATGTGCTACAGCACCACGTTAGGTTCCACAACCTGACTGATGAGGTAGTTGAGCAAGATTCGGGCAATCACCTTGCCGACACAACTCAGCAAGTTGATGCCACGATAATTCGTGCAACATTGCTTGCTCTCTTTACCCTTGTATAGTGGTTGCAAAAGGGCATCCTTCAGCTCAGGAGGCACCTCCTCCTCAATCCATACGCGTAGTACCAAGTGGTGCAGCGCAGTCAACAACGCGAGTCCACCATGTTTCAATACTTCAGGCGGGATCCCGTCGGCCCCAGTACACTTGCCGTTTCACAGCTGAGCAAACGCCTTCTGCGTCTCATCCAGTGTTGGCGTGTCCGCAGATTCGTCTTCATATCGGGCTGCTTCAAGCAGTTCAATGTAGGCCAGTCGATATCTGAACGGTTGTTCAAGAGTTTGTCAAAGTGTTTTAGCCAGATCTGCATTATGTCTGCAGTCTGTGTGCAGGTAGCGCCTGAACTACCATCGATCAGTGTCCTCAGTGGCTCCAATCTCGGTCCATACACCGCCTTCAAGGAGTCAAAGAATTCCTTGTGTTGGCGGCGTTCGGCGTAGCATTCCATCTGCTTCGCCTTCTCCGTCCACCATGCATATTTTATGCGACGGAGTTCTCGGGTCAGTCGCCGTGGAAGTTTGCGATACTGATTACTCTTCCTTAAGTCACTAGGATCTGCGGCATGTGCAGCAAATGCTGCATTCTTCTCCGACAGCAATGCGCCGATCGTCGCATTGTTGTCATCAAACCCTTTATAGTGGCAATATAAAAGTAGGGTATTCGCGCCGTTTGTGCTAACCACAGGGGTATTAGCCCAACGCCAGATGTGACAAATTACTGGCCTCGATACTCGTTCGTCGCCTCACTGCGAAACGAGTATCGCTGATTAAGGAAGAGCAGGTAGGTTTCCGACTTGTACGTAAGTGTATAAACCACGTATTCACTCTGCGGCAGGTCCTGGAGCAGGGACAAGCATGCTGCAGTCTGACAAGAGTTGCGCTCCTCGATTTTAAGAGTGCGTTCGATTTAGTTGATTGATGCATTCTGTTCAATACTTGCGCGGAAAGGTGTGTGAGATATGCGAACATCGTAGTGTGCTATACTCCAACACTACAGGCCGCGTCAGAGTCTACGGTGACCTGTCGGATTGCTTTCCGACAACTATTGGCTTTCGTCGGGGTTGTCTAATTTCCCCATTTTTGGTTTCGTCATGGACTCCATCATAGGGTGTTCCCTTGCGGAATTTCACGATGCATGCGTTTGGGTTCGGCCTGGTGAAAGGTTAGCTGATCTTGATTATGCGGACGATACTGTCCTGTTGTTTAACGAAGTTGGGGCAGCACAATCAACCCTGAATAATTTCTCTAGAGTGGTCTCATTATTAGGTATGCTCTTCGCACTTTCCTTGTGCAGTGTTGCTGCAGGACCACCAGCCACTTGATGACCCCCTTGACCCTGGACGCCGAAAAAATCGAGGCCGTGTTTAGAAGGCCACAGTGAGGGCCGTCCTACTCTATGGGAGTGAGACTTGGTCCCTTCGGTGTGAAGATCTGCAGCACCTTCAAGTCTCAGATCATCACTGTCTGCGGAGCATTGCCGGTGTCGGGTGGCAACAGCGTGTCCGAAACGATGATGTGCATTGACGAGTGCTAGGCAATGATACCGAAGGTAGTTCTTTAGAACAGCTGCTAGTACTGAATAAGTTGCGTTTTTTTGGTCACGTGCTGCGTATGCCTGGTCACCGCTTACCTAGGAGGGCCTTGTTTTGTCTACCAGATGCAGGGTGGCGCAAGGCTCGAAGTGGACGGAAGTTGACTTGGCAGCGGGAAATTTTATCACTGACGCCCAAACTTGTTGCAGTCAGTCCGTCTCGCCTTCCAGGCTAGAGTCCACGTGACTCGCCTTGTGCTTGGCTTGA